CCTGGCTCTGCCTCCCGAGAGCTGGGATTAAAGGTGTGCGCCACCACCGCCCGGCCCTGTTGTTTGTTTTGAGACATGGTCTCCTTATGTAACTCTGGTTGCCTGAACTCACTATACAGACCAGAGATCTGCATACCTCTGTTTCAAGTACTGAGATTAAAGGTGTGTGCCACCATTCCTGGCTATACAAAGAGTATTTAAACTGCCTGTGGATAAGAAAACTAGATAAGTTCCCAAGAAATAATCAGACAAGCCTATACTGGTAAATGGGCTTTAAGGTTTTATGGGCCAATAAAAGATTTTCAATTTTGGTTTGGAGTGACTGCAGAATGGCTATGATAGTAATCATAAAATATAGATAATTAACATGATATAAATCTAGACTATTCCCCACGACGGAGATTTTTTGGGGGAGAACTAAATTTTACTGCAGAATTAGGCATTTGATACAAAGGTGTCATTATCTTATTATCAATAGACATCGAATACTGTGAATTATCAACTGAGGACTATGAAAACCAAAAATGTCACTGAATTTGTATTTCCTCCCTTCCTCTCTCTGACCCTTCTCCCAACTCTTCCTTTGTGATGGTGGGGATCAAAACTAGGACTTGCACAATAGATAAGTGCCCCTGTCATTTATTTTCTTTTAAAAATTAAGAATAAGCTGAGTGCGATCACACACACATGTAGTTCTAGAAGTGGAGGCAGAAGGATCAGGAGTTCAAAGTCTTAGCCATATAAAGAGTTTCAGGCCAACCCGGGTCATATGAGATCACGTCTTAAAAACAAAAAGATGTTAAAACAGGGCAATGGCACTGGCCCAGATGATACAGGCACTTGCAACCCGATGATACAACCCTGATGACCCCAGTTTGACCCCTGGAACCTACATAAAGGAGAGGGAGAGAAGTGACTCCACAAAGTTGTCCTCCGACCTTCCTATGTGCACTGTGGCATGCACTCCTCCCCTCACACTAGTAGTACAATTTAGAAAAGAAAATACATGTTTAAGTGTGTAATTGTTAATGCCAACTTGAAAACTATGCGCCTAGAATAAACACAACTCTGAAATATTGTTATAGTACGTACAGTTTGACCATATCATTGGCTTTTCTCAAACATTCTGAAATTTAAAGTATATATTAAGGTTAAATGTCTTCACTGCAATAGTCATGAACTTTACAAATATATTTGTATATATTTGTATTATATTACAAATAAAGTGAGAGCAATTATGATAGTTTTAAAGTTATTAAAATAGCATTTATCCAAAGTCTTGGGGACAAACAAAAATAGATAAATGAACTATAACAGCTGCTTTTTGGGTCAAATGTCCACGTGTTCATCTTGGGATCTTCAGTAGACTACAAAGAAGAGCAAACTGCTGGAAGCAGAGGACACAGGAGCACATCAGTAGGCACTTGACTAATTTTAGCAAGTCCTTATTCTCATACATTCCTTGGTCTAAAGAAAGAGTGCTGCCTTGAATGTTTATATGTAAGTAAGTTATGAGATCTCTTACCAGCTTGCTCAAAACACAGACACTTTTCTGAACAGTCTCTCTGGTGATGTCGGCTTGCCTTACTTTTAATGCCTGTTATAAGCAAACAATTATTTATTAGAAGTACTTCACAGCTGCATTTATAAACAGTTTCAATATGAACATAGTAATTAAATAGAAAAAAAGTCTTGCATTCAGTTAATTTAAAGAACTTCATAGTGAATCTCAGCTACGGCAGTTGAACATACCTGTTAGCCTTGCTCTGAATGTCAGTAGCTAGGCACTGGGTAGAACAGTGAAGAGACAATCCCCACTGTCCTGGAATTTATAGGCTGAGGGAAACTGCTTTATATACAAGTCACATACCAGACCAACCCTTCAATGAGAACCAACCCATTAAAAACTAACTGGATTAAAAAACAAGATTTGCTATTTCCTAAAAACACACCTGCCAGACATCCAAAAATTGAGAGTCACAAGGATCGAAATTAACCTACCAAGCAAATGGGAGCCTTCAAAAAACTAATGTTGCTAGATTCATAGGTGCAAAAGTGGACTTCTCAACTAGTCAGGAGAGATAACAAAAGGCCACCATGCCACAAATGTGTTGTTAGGTACTGATGCTCAAATACTTCTGGATATATTTCTTCTTTGCATTAATAATGCTATTGAAAATGCTGTGATATTCTCTTTTTGTACATTTCTATACATTTAACCACTTCCACTGAGTTTAATTTTTAATGTGATTTTGATGCCTTCATTTTCATTAGTTCTCATTATGTAAGTTTAAATATGCTTATAAAAACAATGCATGATGCTGGGCAGTGGTGGCGCATGCCTTTGGTCCCAGCACTTGGGAGGCAGAGGCAGGCAGATTTCTGAGTTCGAGGCCAGCCTGGTCTAAAAAGTGAGTTCCAGAACAGCTAGTACTGTTACACAGAGAAACCCTGTCTCGAAAAAAACCAAAGGGGGAAAAAAAGTATGACAAAAAATCATAAAAATCTCAAACAAACAAATCGTAACAAATGCTGGTACCTATGTGGAGAAGGAGAAACCCTCACTCATTGCTAGTAAGGGAGCAAATTGTTATGGCCATGGAAACCAGAATGGAGGTTACTCAAAAACCTAAAAATTAGGAGCTCAGCAGTTAGAAGTGCACATTGCTCTGGCAGAGGACCTCAGTTCTGTTCTAGAACCCACTTTGGCTGGCTCACATCACTTCAGCTCTATGGGACTGAACACCCTCTTCTGGCCTCTTCAGGTACTTGCACAGCTGTACTACATTAAAAGTAAAGACTGTGATTCCCCAAATGACCAACATCTAAGCAGGGGTTGGAGGAGCTTTTCCCTAATGCTGCTCCACCATCAATTATCATACCTTGGCTTCAATTTGTCGATAGCAAGAGATACCATATACTGTGGCTCCATTTCCATTTCTGGGTGGCAAGTGAAAAAACACAGTATCTAAGAGATACACAGAAAAATGTAAACAGTGATATTAATTACTCATTACTGAACAATCAAATATGAAGTTATAATGCAGTCATTAACACACAAATGATGACACATCCAGGAACCATGTGATACTTATTTCTAGCATCATAAACTCCCTTCTCCCCCCCAGTCTTTTATAGTACATGTCTGTCACAAAACATGTAAGAGATAACAGGTCAAATTGACTGTACAATTACAGAAAATACATGCAGGGACTGCTCCAGACTAAAGGAAAGTCAAGTCATAAAAACTGATGGTAACATGTGAATCTTGAGTGGATTCAAGAAATTTTGGGAAAACTGGGGAAATCTGAACATAGACTGGATATGAGATGATATTATGGAATTGCTGTTAGATCTTTTAGCTACGATAATACAACTGGATGCTGGGGAATGATTATGTTCTTAGAGGGTACATGTACTAAAGTACTTAGAAGTCAAGTGTCTGTCATTATTCCAAATGACTTTAGAATAAAAAGTAGACAAAATTGAACATACATATAAACATAAAGAAAACTTATAAAATATTCCCTATAATCTTAATTTAACTCTTCCACCAGATTAAAAGCATCCATAGCAAAAAAGTTAGGAAGAAATGTATTTCTGAGGTTACATATCTATCCAATAAAACTTATTTTAAACTGTATAGTAACATTTGATTTATTTTATAAGAGAAATATTAAATATTGCAATAGGAAAACACGTAGTCAAATTATGTTGAATCTGGTTTAATCAAAGTAAAACAGTACTTTATTAGGTCTGGCAAAGCACTCTCATATGGTGGTAGAAGACTCTGAAAAGGTCACCACTCTTCTCTGAGGACACAAACGTTTTCATGCAAGCAAGCAACTTTTGAAGTACAGGGTTGCAGCATGGCTACAGAGTCAAAGAAACAATCTCCACTGTACCCAGGTGGACAGGAGAAGTCTGAAACTACAGACTTCAGGCCATGTGTTGCTAGTGCACTTAACCCTTTCTGCCACTGAGTGGAGTCTGAAGCCTGACAGAATTGTAGGCATGAGCCCATCGGCAGCTGTCCAGCTCTGGCTATACCTGAGTGCTCTGGACAGGAGAGGAGCCAAGAGTCACTGACCATGAAAATAGGTCCAGCACACTCTGACAATTCTCTAGTGCATGCCTCACTTCCAAACAGCACATACACATTTTATAAGTAATCACAATAAGTCCAAAGGCTTTCATTTTCCAAAGTATTCAAGACTGATACAGCAAAAATTTCAAAAACTGCACCTAGTAATTGGTCTACTATTTAATGACATACCTTCCTGATAGTTATGTGCACCATCTGGTAAGGCAAGGAAAGGCAAATATTTCCATTCTTCGGGTAAAGTGTGGCTGTCATGTCCATCTCCTGGAATCAGTGGTGGGTAAGAGAATTCAACCTAAATTGGAAAAGAAGGTTAGCCAAATGGTGATTAAAGGAAGAATCTTATACTGACAAATAGTAATGCTCTTAAACCCTGGACAATGCCATTGGAGATTATCGGCAAACCCAAGCACAGAAGAGAAGAGGTTCATAGACTGTCCCCTGCTGATTTAAAGTATCTAGTTGTAACTCTCATAAGCACGTTTAAATAGAGTTTAGCTACTATACATACTCAAGAATTCTAAAGGTGAAATTAAGGCTATGCTAGGATGACTTAGGTTCACAGTGTTTATAATACAGTTTCTTTGGGAAAATGTGGTCCAGACTCAAACAGCCAACTTTGGGATCACAACTCATCCATACATTGTAGACTGCATGCCTTATGTTGGCAGTTTTAGAATTATTATTTCCTGCTGATAAAGTTGCTACTAATAGATACTTGTACTTGAAAATAGATGAATTTGCTAATTAATTTCCAAACAGGTAACCTCCTTCTACTTGACACATACAATTTTAATAGCTACATGGTATTATTTATTTGTTTAGCAACTCTCTTGTTATTTTAGAAGTTTTTTAAACAGCTTTATAAGCTAGTTATCATTTTTCAAATGTGGCATAATAAAAATACTACTAGTTCGTCGAAGAAAGATCCTAAAATGCTTGGAACTTCCTGAGCCATAAATTATTTATAATGAGTCCCAATACACATGAGCTTATGCTTAAGCTATCTTTAGGATAAGGGCTGTCACCAGAAAGACAATACCTTGATTAGAAAGAGAACTTTCAAGCCTATATTTTGCCCCTGGGAGAGAGCCTGGAGATTGAATTCAGTCATTAAATGGCCAATGTGTAAACCAATCATGCTTATGTAATAAACCTTTAAATCCTTTAACAGTGGGGTTCTGAGAGCTCCTGAGTTGCTAAGTACGTGAAGATTCAGGGAGGGAATGGATGCTCCCTGTCTCTCCTTCATACCCCGCTTTATGTACTATTCTCTTCGCCGGGCTATCCTTGAGTTGACAGTTGTGGGAACCTTTGAATTTAGGGCTAAGTTGGACAGAAATTCAAGTGGCATCGGTCCTTGGGACCTGTAACTGGCATTTTAATAATGTAATAATCTTATGGAACCAAGCCTTTAAACTGTGGGGTTTGGTGCTAACTCTAGGTAACTAATAATAGGTCTGAAGAATAGGTAAGAATCTGAGATCAAACATGGACATTAAGCTTCCAGAGATTAAGAAACATTTGCACTGATTATTACCTACTAGTAAGTAGTAGAAATACATGGACCAAAATTTAAGTAAAATTTAGGGATCAAAGAACATGGTGAGGCATTAACACACACCAGTGTGAGGGAGACATTTATGTTCCCCCAAAGTATAAAGCTAACCAAGAAAACTTCAAGTATCTCTCTTTAAATAACCAATTCACATGGCCAGACCCACCCTGATTTCTGTTATTTGATACATTTATTCTGAAGTGATAACAGGAGGAAAGAAGACAACAATGGCTGACTCCTAAAAAGTAGAAACAATAACGATGCTCTAAATCACAAAGAATAATTTTTCTTTCTTATTTTATGTGTACAGGTGTTTTACTTGCATGCATGTAGGTACACTATGTGGGTGCCCTTTTCTAGTGGTTACCAAAGAAACAGGAGATGGGGTCCAAAGCTGGGTATGAGGGATCTATCCTCAATTGCCTCTAAGCCTGTTAATTCCTATCTAGCTACCTAATAGGAAACATCACAACTGCCACTCCTTAGGGTTTAAAATAACGTATGAAAACAGTGAAGGCTATGTTGAGGCCCATTAAGGGAAAGCTACTTCTCTGGGTCAAAATAACAGAATCTGAATTATGCCTCCGGTCCTAGGTGGAGACATGACATTCTGATGTGTTCCAAAGATTAGAACATTATATACTATTCTCTCTTAAGAATCAATCCAGGCCAGTAAAATGGCTCAGCAGGTAACAGCACTTGCAGTCACTCTTGAAAACTTAAATTCAATCCCTGAAGTCCATGCAGGGGAAGGAGAGAACTGGCTCCCCAAGTTGTCTTCTAACCTCCACTTGTGTTCCTGGTCTGTCAATCACCTGGCCAGAAAACTGCTCCTTAGGGAAGCTGGTTCACCTGAAGGTATGCTGTGGAGTTGGGAAAAATTATCCCCTTAATGAGATCATATTCTTATCTCCAAGAAGCCCCACTCCCAAAAAGTTGCTTACAGCCCTTCCATGCTGCAGTACTACTAAGTCTGGTAGCTTTTCTAACCCAATCAGTATAACTTTTTCTTTCTACCTGTTTCTTCTTTGGATACAATCCCAAAACCTGCTCAGACTCTCTGGGCCTTTTCACTTTCTATAAAGACCCCTCTACCCTCCTATAAAAATTATAAAAAAAATTTATAGCTGTTTGCTGACTTCCTTGGCTGGACCCTCCTGGTTTCTTGGAGTCTAATTTGAAAGGAATGACTTACAGAGCCTATGAGATAGCTCAGAAGGTGAAAGGCATCAAACCTAACGACTGGAATTTAATCTCCAGGATGCCCAAGGAAGGAGAGAACTGTTTCCAAGTTGTTTCCTTTATAAGTTACCTAAAATTAGACTATTTGACATGAAATAATCTGTATATGTTTCTACAGTAAATCCCAGACTTTAATTTGTTCCAGTATATAAACTATAATTGTCAGATTGCCATTGGTTTTTTTTTTTTAATTATGTATTTATTTTTGAATCAGGGTTTTACTATGTAGTTTTGGAGGGCCTGGAACTCACTATTTAGAACAGACTGGCCTTGAACTCAGAGATCCACCCATCTCTGCCTCCCAAGTGCTGGAATTAAAGTCACGTGCCACGATGCCCAGCTCTTTTTTAAAAAGTCATGTATGAGTACTGTATCTACATAATTTCCACACCCCCTCCACTCTAACTCCTTCCATGTTCTTCCCTCTCATGAGTTAGTCTTTGTTATTGTTACACACACACACACACACACACACACACACACACACACACGTGCAAATGTACATATAAATGTAACCTGCTGAGTCTATTTAGTGTTGCTGTTATGTATACATGTTTAGGGCTGAGCACTGGGAATGGACAACCTACCAGGGACTCGTCCTTGAAGAAGACTGATTCTCCCTCTCTAAGCATCCATTAACTGTAGGTAGCTCTTCACAGTAAAAGGGAAGTAAAACCTCCACACACATTCAAAATAGAATTAAAATGTAGTTAAAAAAAAGGCATGACTTTCTCTCTTCCTGTTCTCCATCTCCTTTCCCTGGCAGAAGCCAAAATTTATAGCTTGTTGATCTTGTTTGTTCATTTCTTTCTTCCTTTTCTTTTGGTTTTTCAAGACAGGGTTTCTCTGTAGACGAGGCTGGCCTAGAAATCAGAGATTGCCTGACCTTCCGAGTGCTGGGATTAAAAGTGTGAGCCACCACCATTCTGCTCATTTTTTTTTTTTCAAACTCTAAGAAATGGTCCTTAAACTTCCTTCTGAGTCAGTTTCTAAATTGTTTTATTAAAAGACTAAAAACCCACAAGAGGAAACCCCAATTTCCTTGGTAAAGTTCCAGCTGTTTTGCAATTCTGCTTTTCCTTCCCCCCCGGAAATACAGAGTGGGGCTGGAGAGACAGCTCAGAGGTTAGAGTACTTGCTGCTCTTCCAAAGCGCTCAGGTTCGATTTCCAGCACCCACATCAAGAGCTCACAAGTGCCTGTTACTCCAGCACCAGGAAATCTAACATCCTCTTCTGGCTTCCACAGGCACCTGCATGCATATGAACTTATATATACTCAGGCACACACATATACACACAAAATAAATTAATAAATCTTGAAAGAAAAAGAAAACGAAATACAGAGTCACGGGGAGAGGGTCATACGGCCCCACCCATCTTTGAGGAGCTCTAGACAGTTACAGTTGCTGGGGGATTTTCTTTAGTGGTATAGCCATTAAGCTGCCCAAGTTTCAGGGAATAACTTCTCCATCCATGCTTGTGCAGTGGGCTACACTCAAAACAACAACAAACAAAACATGAAGGAAGACTTGCTGAGAAGAAAGAAGGGTTCAGCAGGAGTGGAGGGCATGAAAAAGAATAATGGAGGATGAAAATGACCTAGAGTTTATATACTTATGTGATGCTGTCAAAGAATAAAGAAAGAAAAGAAATATAGTTTGGCAAAACCATTCAAGAGTTAAAGTTGAGCTGGGAGGTGGTGGTGCATGCCTTTAAGGCCAGCACTTGGGAGGCAGAGGCAGAAGGATCTCTGTGAGTTTGAGGCCAGTTTGATCAACAGAGTGAGTTCCAGAACAGCCAAAGTTGCACAGAGAAACCCTGTCTTGAAAAACCAAAAAAGAATTAAAGTTGCTAGCTATGTATACAGACCAGGAGCTCTATCAGACAAGAGACAAAAGCAAAAATGTAGGGTGGTCAGATGGCCTAGTGGGTAAAGGTGCTTGCAGTCTGACAATGCAAGCATGAAGACCTGGATTCAATCTCTGGAACCTAGGTAAATGCTGAAGGAGAGAACTGATACCACAAAGTTGTCTTTGGACTTCCACACACGGGTTATGCCCTCATTCCATGAACATTGCACACACAATAACAAAGTGTTGCAGAATATTTGTGTACACTGTAAAGATGTGTCTCGGCCCAAGGCTCCTTCTGATTGGTTTAATAAAGAGCTTAATGGCCAATAGCTATGCAAGAGGTATAGGCCGGACTTCCCGGCAGAGAGAGAACTCTGGGAAGAAGAAAGGTTGAGTTGCCAGGCAGACTTGGAGGAAGCAGGGCATGGGCAGTTCAGAGATGAGGTAACGCCATGTGGTAGAATGTAGATTAATATAAGTGGGCTAATTTAAGTTATAAGAGCTAGTGGGACAAGCCCAAGCTAAGACCAAGCTTTCATAATTAATAAGTCTCTATACCATTATTTTTAAGCTGGCAGCCCAAAGAAAAATCCAACTACAATAAAGTAATTTTAAGGTTTTGGAAATAACTGCTATCTACTGAATGTTTAAAAATTTAAAACTATGAACAAAATTAAAGAGCTTGCCTGATACATATCTGATTATTTAACAAAAGATTATGGCAATCTGATTTATGGGCTGGCCCAGCCTAGTAAGTATAGCTCTCACTCCTCAGATAATTTTTTTTCTTCTTCTTTACAGAAATCCACAACTTGTCAGAATGCAGAGAACTGACCATGAGGTACTCAAGCCCAGCTGACGTACACAACACAAGGAACATGGTGGAAGGGGGGTAGAGAGAGTCTAAGAGTCAGAGGACAAGGGCATCTCCATGTAACAGGGAAGCTGCACACACGAAATCTCCTGACAGGGCTGCCTACACAGGACCCGCACAATGACGACAGCAGATCAGCGGATGGGGAAATCTCACAAGGCCCCACCCCGAGATGAAGAGCTATGGGCGATTAATGGAGCTGAGAGACAGAGACACAGTCTTCTCCAGGGACAAGTCCCTGATAGGTTAGCTATTCAAAGTGGTCA